TTAGGGTTTGGGGTTTTGGGAAAAGGACAGGCTGGAATTAGGAATTGACATTATGGTGGGATCAATGACTCGATTGACTAGAAACCCTCGGCACGAAGGGCTAAATCCCCAAGATAACAAGACCGGTGCAGCTTCAGGACACCCCTAAACCCTTCTACCACAGGCTTGATTGGAGCTCGCCCGGAAACCCTAAACCCCAACAGAACCTGTGGTTCTCAAAAGAGACCCCTAAAAACCCCAAACCCTAAACCACAAACCCTGAACCCTAAACCCCAAACCCTAAACCCTAAACCCCTAAAGTCTTAAGGAGGAGAGGAACTACAGCTCTGGCCAGCATCGGATCTGCTGAAAGGATCCCCGCTCTCAGAGAGTCCGTCTTCATCAGGATCCCCCCGAAACATCCCAGGGAGGGTGCTGGTGCCGGAGTCTCAACTCTGACCCTGTTCAGAAAAGAGCCTTATTACAAAGAATATCAGACTAGGAATTGTTGGGGTATATTCGAGAACCCGCCGGAATCTTATAACTCATCATCCCCTAAAGCGGATCACCTGCTTAGAGCCCCTGAAACTATCAGATGCCCCCAAACCCCCAAACTCCAAAGCCCCAAACCCTAAACCCTAAACCCCCCAAACCCGGGACCCGACACTTGGGATTCGGACCTGGAGCAGTCGCAAGCACAAGGGCATCACACCGTCCGCCGTGCTGAGCCCCAGCCAGGGCCACGCCAGCCTCCGAAGGCTTCTGCAGCGAAGGAATGAACGGATGCGTGCATTCATGTATGCATGCATGTGCATATGTACGTATCTGTGTATGGGTGGGTAGATGGACGGATAGATGGATGGACGGATGGATGGACTGATGGTTGATGGATGATGTATGCATGCACGGATGTACATATGCTGTCGTGCTCGTTGCAAAATTGGAAAAGGAATCCTGAAGCCCTGTACCCTAAACCCTACCTGAACCCAAACCCTTTGACACAAACCTTCTTTGCACAGACTTGCAAATACCCACCTGGTTCTCAGGGCTGCCGCACTCGCGGCAGAAACCCTAAGCATCCAAAACATCTGAAGCACGGAGGAGCCTGTCGAACCCGGAAGCCATATGAGAATCCACACCTGTAAAGACGGAAATGAAGCCTAAACCCAAAACCCTAAACCCCCAAAGCCCTAAACCCCTAAACCCTGTACCCTGAACCCCCAAGCCCTACACCCCTAAACCCTAAACCCTATAACCGAAGTTGCAGTAAAACCCTGAGCCCATCGAGCCGAAGCCACCTGTGCAAGGTCTCCGTGCCCTCGTAGAGCCCCAGCCACGTCCCGGAGGCCACCAAAGACGCGGCCTGCGGTTCTTTCTCGGGATTTTCAGGGCTTAAACGTTCCGGGCTAGGCCGAAACTTTGAGACTCGCCTGCTCTGTCGTGATGGAGCCAAGCACCCCGAAACCCCCAAACAGGTGCCAAACTTTACGCCATGACAGGAGGCATTCTTGCTATTTCGCCTCCTGAGCCCAGGCTCAGCCACCTCAAGACTCAAAACCCAAAAGGATTTCTAGTAGCCCTCAGTAGCAACCTTATAGTATAACCCGACTCGTCGTCGTCGTCGTAGTAGTTGTAGTAGTAGTAGCAGAAATAGCAGAGTAGTAGACGTCGTAGTCGTAACCCTTTAGCAGCCCTGTATAGTAAACCTACAGGGCAAACCTTATAAGCCTTCTAACAACCCCAAATGGGGGTTGCCGAAAATAGGGGACCCTAATAGAGTACCCTAAATAGTAGGATCCTTATTATAAGGACCCCAACATAAGGTACCCCTAATTTTCGGAACTCCCCCGAAACCCTAAACCCTAAACCCTAAACCCTAAACCCAAATCGCTCCTGCCAGGCGCTGGTGAGATCCCCATCGCCGGCCAGGGCCATGCCAAGACCCCCGGAGGAGAAGGTCTGGAAGGTCAGCGGGGAGGAGCCTGAGGGCTTAGGGCTTTTTCCCCTGACTTTAGGGGTTTAGGGTTTAAGGTTTAGGGTTTAAGGTTTAGGGTTTAAGGTTTAGGGTTTAGGGTTTAGGGTTTAGGGCTTAGGGCTTTGGGCTTTTTCCCCCCGCTGGCTTTAGGGCTGGGGGGATCTAGGCAGCAGGTGTTTTTCTCCGATGTCTTTTTTCCCTCTCGCATGGCAGAGATCTGTTTGGGGTTTGGGGTTTGAGGGTTTAGGGTTTGGGGTTCAGGGTTCAGGCTTGCTTTCCCAGCCGCGTGGGGCTTGGGGCTGAGGATTTTCGACTCTCACTCTCGCACACGGAAGACAAGGCTGGTTTTAGGGCTTAGGCTAAAACCCGGTTAGAAACACATCTGGGGCACAATTTTCTGCTGAGAAGATCTCGATCTCGATGATCCGCCAAGCCTCCGGTGCGACTCCTGGCAGCGTCCATGAAAGCTCGTCTAAGTTGGGGCTATGAGCTAGTACTATGCTTCGATATTGTGTGATGTTTTTGGGTCTGATCCGGATGTTTTTTTCCCACCCGCCCAGCTG